CGGCGCCCCTCTTGAGCCACAATCGCTCGTTGGGGGCCTCTTGAGGCGCTCTCTGGGTGCGTTTGTGCGCTCTCGGGGCCGCTTTGGGGCAATCTTGGGCGTCTATTTGAGCCCCCGTGGGACATGTTGGAGCCATCCGGAGGCCCTGGGAGCCCATCGGAAGCGAAAGAGGGAAAACGCAACAATCTGCGACTTTCTTTCATGTTTCAAGGAGGCATTGGACATCGTAGGGGCCTCTTTGGGGTCTCCGTGGCCACTTGGACCCATCTTGGGGCCAATATGGTCTCTTTCGGAGGCCTCTTGGGGGCCAGGTTGGGCCAACCTTTTGGTATTTTGCTCCATCTTGGAAGCCATCTTGAAGCATCTGGGGCCCTCTCGGGGCCCTCTTGGGCCAAACGCTTCCCAAGGCCGCAACCGAAAAAGCCCACGCCAATCAAAGTCCCGGTGTTTTTTTTTCGGTTCTTTCGTTTATCCATGAGGAGAGGTCCTTTGTCAGGGCCCCTCTCTGGGGCCTTTAATGTCGCATTGCGTGTCCCTCCCAGGGCCGTCTTGTGGGCCCTGCTTGGCCCCCTCTTGGGGCCCTTTTCGGGCCTTCGTGGCGCCATCTTGAGGCTTGGGAAGGCAATCGGAAGTGAACAGGCGAAATCCCCAAAGTTGTTGCTTTAGGTGTTGGAAGGATTTGGGCTTCTTGTGGGCCTCCTGGATTTGGGCTACGTGGCAACCTGGACACGTCTTGAATCGATCTTGGGGCCTCTTGGAACCTGTTGGAAACCTCTTGGGGCGTCTCGGGTGCTTCTGAAGGGCCGTTTGGGGGCCATTTGGGGGCGTTTGGGGGGCCTCGCGTGGCCTCTTGGGGCCATCTTTGGGCCTTGTCGGGGGCCTTGGAGGCGTTCTTGGGACCATCTTGGAACATATCGATCAAAAGGGGATCCTTATTTTGCGGCACCCCTCTTGAGCCACAGTCGCTTGTTGGGGGCCTCTTGAGGCGCTCTCTGGGTGCGCTCGTGCGCTCTCGGGGCCGCTTTGGGGCAACCTTGGGCGTCTATTTGAGCGCCCGTGGGACATCTTGGAGCCATCCGGAGGCCCCGGGAGCCCATCGGAAGCGAAAGAGGGAGAACACAACAATCTGCGATATTTTCTTTCAAGTTTCAAGCAGGAATTGGGCATCGTAGGGGCCTCTTTGGGGTCTCCGTGGCCACTTGGACCCATTTGGGGGCCAACATGGTTTCTTTCGGGGGCCTCTTGGGGGCCAGGTTGGGCCAACATTTTGGTATTTTGCGCCATCTTGGAGGCCATCTTGAAGCATCTGGGGCCCTCTCGGGGCCCTCTTCGGCCAAACGCTTCTCGAGGCCGCAACCGAAAAAGCCCAAACCAATCAAAGTCCTAGTGTTGTTCGGTTCATTCGTTGATCCATGAGGAGAGGTCCTTAATCAGGGCCCCCCTTCTGGGGCCTCTAATGTCGCATTGCGTGTCCCTCCCAGGGCCGTCTTGGGCCCTGCTTGGCCCCCTCTTGGGGCCCTTTTCGGGCCTTCGTGGCGCCATCTTGAGGCTTGGGAAGGCAATCGGAAGTGAACAGGCGAAATCCCCAAAGTTGTTGCTTTAGGTGTTGGAAGGATTTGGGTTTCTTGTGGGCCTCCTGGATTTGGGCTACGTGGCAACCTGGACACGTCTTGAATCGATCTTGGGGCCTCTTGGAACCTGTTGGAAACCATCTTGGGCAGTAATTTCCTTGGGCGCAAGGGTTCTTATTAGAGGGAGCGGGTCCTCCCAGAGGGAGCCGGATGGCTCGCGACAACCGCCGGCGCTGGCGGTTGTCGTGAGTCACCCCGCTCCCTCTGACAACCCTCAGACCCGAACGCCGGCTGCCCTCAGCAAGTGGGCAATTCTGCCCACTTGCTCGCGGCAACCGCCAGTGCCGGCGGCTGTCGTGAGCCACTCGCCGCTGTCGCTCCGGGGTGCCAGCAGGCATCCCTCCAGAGAGAAAGTTGGCCTTGGAGCTTCAGTGGGGGGTGGCTCACGACAACCTCCACTGCCGGCGGCTGCCGCGAGCAAGTGGGCAGATTGCCCACTTGCTCAGGGCAGCCGGCGTTTACGGGTTGAGGGGTAGTCAGATGGGGAGGGTGGTCACGACAAACCGCCAGCGGCGGCGGGTCGTGAGCCACCCGGCTCCAACGGGACAGCACCGCTGCCTCTCTAAGCAGCCCTTTTGACCAAAGGAGCAGAGGTGCCACCCTCCCTGACAAGTCCCCTGTGAGGCCCAGTTCGTGGAGCCACCCTGCTCCCCTTGGCAGCTTCCTGGCTCCCCTGGGCAGCACATTGTGCCACAAGGGAGCCGGGTTGGCTCCCGACAACCGCCAGCGCCGGCGTTTGTCGTGAGCCATCCGGCTCCCTCGGGCAGCTCCCTGGCTCCCCTGGGCAGCACCCTGCTGCCAAGCGGAGCCGGGGTGGATCACGACAACCGCCAGCGCCGGCGGTTGTCGTGAGCCACCCGGCTCCAACTGGACAGCACCGTGGCCTCCTCTAAGCAGCCCTTTTGCCAAAGGGAACCGGGTGGCTCACGACAACCTCCAGCGCCGGCGGTTGTCGTGAGCCACCCTGCTCCCTCTGGGCAGCTCCCTGGCTCCCTCTGGGCAGCACCCTGTGCCAAAGGGAGCCGGGTGGCTCACGACAACCGCCAGCGCCGGCGGTTGTCGTGAGCCATCCGGCTCCCTCTGGGCAGCTCCCTGGCTCCCTCTGGGCAGCACCCTGTGCCAAAGGGAGCCGGGTGGCTCACGACAGCCGCCAGCGCCGGCGGTTGTTGTGAGCCATCCGGTTCCCTCTGGCCCCCCCTCTATGGCAGCACCCTTTGCCACTGGGAGCCGGGTGGCTCACGGCAGCCGCCAGCGCCGGCGGTTGTTGTGAGCCATCTGGCCCCCCCTCTATAGCAGCACCCTTTGCCATAGGGAGCCGGGTGGTTCACGACAGCCGCCAGCGCGCAGGGGCGGAAGGGAGGAGTGGGAGGGAGGAGGTGGGAAAAAAAATGACGCCACCGCCGGCGTTGCCGCTGCCGGCGTCCCCGCCGCCATCGGCGTCGCCGCCGCTGCTGGCGTCGCCCCACCGCCGCCGCTGCCGCCGTCGTCGTCGTCGTCGTCGTCGTCGTCGTCGTCGTCGCCGTCGTCGCCTCCGACGTCGCCGTCTTCGTGCACCGCTGCCGTCGCTGTAGTCGTCGCCGCCGCTTTCGTCATCGCCGTAGCCGTCGCCGCTGCTGTCGCCGCGAGCGTCGTCGTCGTCGTCGTCGCCGCCGCCGTCATCGTCGTCGTCGCCGTCGCCCGCTGCCGTTGCCGCTGCCGGCGTCCCCGCCGCCGTCATCGTCGCCGCCGCTGCTGGCGTCGCCACCGCCGCCGCCGCCACCGCCGCCGCCGCCACCGTCACCGTCGTCGCCTTCTTCGTCGCCGTCGTCGTCGCCACCGCCGTCGCCGTCGTCGTCGTCGCCGCCTTCGTCGTCGCCGTCGTCGTCGCCGCCGCCGCCCCCGTCGCCGTCGCCGTCCATTGAGGGGCGCCGTAAAATAAGGATCCCCCCTCTTTGATCGATCTGTTACAAAATGGTCCCAAGAATGCCTCCAAGGCTCCCGACAAGGCCCACAGATGGCCCCAAGAGGCCACGCGAGGCCCCCCAAACGCCCCCAAATGGCACCCAAACGGCCCTTCAGAAGCACCCGAGACGCCCCAAGAGGTTTCCAACAGGTTCCAAGAGGCCCCAAGATCGATTCAAAACGTGTCCAGGTTGCCACGTAGCCCAAATCCAGGAGGCCCACAAGAAGCCCAAATCCTTCCAACACCTCAAGCAACAACTTTGGGGATTTCGCTCGTTCACTTCCGATTGCCTTCCCAGGCCTCAAGATGGCGCCACGAAGGCCCGAAAAACGCCCCAAGAGGGGGCCAAGCAGGGCCCAAGACGGCCCTGGGAGGGACACGCAATGCGACATTAGAGGCCCCAGAAAGGGAACCCTGATCAAGGACCCCTCCTCATGGATCAACGAACGAACAGAAAAAACACTGGGACTTTGATTGGTGTGGGCTTTTTCGGTTGCGGCCTTGGGAAGCGTTTGGCCCAAGAGGGCCCCGAGAGGGCCCCAGATGCTTCAAGATGGCCTCCAAGATGGCGCAAAATACCAAAAGGTTGGCCCAACCTGGCCCCCAAGAGGCCTCCGAGAGAGACCATATTGGCCCCGAGATGGGTCCAAGTGGCCACGGAGACCCCAAAGAGGCCCCTACGATGCCAAATTCCTTTTTGAAACTTAAAGGAAAATCGCAGATTATTGTGTACTCCCTCTTTCGATTCCGATGGGCTCCCGGGGCCTCCGGATGGCTCCAATATGTCCCACGGGGGCTCAAATAGACGCCCAATATTGCCCCAAAGCGGCCCCGAGAGCGCACAAACGCACCCAGAGAGCGCCTCAAGAGGCCCCCAACAAGCGATTGTGGCTCAAGAGGGGCGCCGTAAAATAAGG